CAGAAAAACCTGACACATCTGGTTTGGTTTGTAAGCGTTGTTTAAACAACGAGCTCACCATTATGCTAGATTCTTCAAGTGAACATGAAAGTCAGGAGGATATATCCGACATTTGCAGCCCCGATGCAATTCTTATTACTTTTTATTAAATAAAATTTTAAATTTTTAAATTCAAGTACTAAATATAATAAACATTATTAAAGATGACTAACTTTTAAATTTTTTTGTTAGTTTATACTACCTGGTTATTTCTTAAAAATACTTGACATCCGCATTCGCATCCGCGAATGTCCAAAATTTCACATTCGCAACATCCCTAGTCCATAGTATTTATGTATGCAAATACATTCGTGCCTATTCTGATGTCCGACGGATGCCATCCACACGGATCTAATCCGATCCGCACTGTCATTACAAGCGAGTGTAAAGGATTAGATTCGCGGGAATGGTATCCGTTGGACGGATGCCATCATACGAATCTAATCCTTCGCACTCGCTTGCTATCACAATGCGAATAGGCATGATTACCAAATCGATCAAGCAAAGCGATTTTAATCTACACTTTATTTAGCTTGAACGTAAAGTCTGATGAGGGGATATGGTGTTGACCTCGGAATTAACACTAGCTTCAGCCACTGAAAGTTGAAAGTAGGTGCAGCAGTCTGGAGGAAGATATGACCTGTGCTCATAGTCTCTCTGCTGAGATAAATTCTTTAAAAGAAGAATTGGCAGATCTAAAAAAAGAGAAGGCAACTGCTCTCTCTACCTCTGATGCTGTTGTGTTTGGTTTGCCGTTCGTGAAAGAGGAGAACCTGAGACAGATTTTTGATAGTGTGTGTAAGTCAGCGATGAGCAGAGAGAGCTTTTACTCTGCACTCGCCTATACGAAATGCATAGAAAGCAAAGCGATGCCTATCACCGGTGTAAGTCGATTAACTTGGCGACTCCGTTTGTTTGTGATATTTTTCGCACGAAGCATACAGATGAGCGGCCTAATAGTGCGGCGATTGTCAAATTTCCCTCACTATCCGATCGTACACGCACTTTGTCTGCGTTCGCCCAGTATAGGAAAAAGCACAAATCTTCTCTATCTCTTGAACTAGCAGGCATTGATAGCCTCGGCACTTTTAACATTTATGAGAGCTTACCTGCTGCGACCAGAGAGACTTTACAAGCTGCGATAAAATTGAGAAAATTGAATAAGCTGCATAGTGCATTCTCTTGGAGAGATGAAATTTTTATACGTACGTCTGCTGGAAGTGAACCTGTTGCTGTATCTGATAGCAGCGAGCTTTTTAACATCATTAGTAGCATTTAATACTAGCATACTATTTAACATTTATTTTGTGTAATATCTTTTGTCTTTCTCATATATTTAAGTTTGTTTACAACCATTTTCGGTTAATATTACTCCACATTATGTTGGAGAACAGTCCGTCACATAATGTTAATTTCAACCAAACAGTCCTGGTAAATATGCTCTGTAAGCGTGCTGGTGACTTTAATGTAGTTCATTTCAACGCTCGCAGCTTGAATAGTTATAAATTGGATAGCATTAGAAGAATATTTGAAGGTTCGTTTGTTGACGTTGTTTGTGTGTCAGAGACTTGGTTCAGTGCGGATATTCCGGATTATTGCTACTCAGTCCCAAATTATAATTTGTTTCGCAATGACCGTTTGGGTAGAAGAGGTGGTGGAGTGGCTGTGTATTGTAGAAACTATCTATTATAAGTCCTTCTACGTTTGAGATTGAGTTTATGACTGCCGTGATTTCAGATGCGAGCGCAAAAGTTTTGGTGTCTTGTGTGTACAATCCTAGCAAGAACATTTCATTGCAGCCTTTTTTCGATGACCTTACTCCTCGTCTTCTTGACTATGACCACTATATTATATGTGGCGATTTTAACATTAATCTACTCTCACCTGACTCTTTATCCAAGAATTTTTTTAGACTCTGTCGCATCAGTTGACATGTCTGTTGTCAATACTTGTATGCCTACAAGATTTTCATTCAATGTTCGTCCTAGTCTTCTTGACATTTTCATAGTTCCAATGTCTACTTCTGTGCGTTTGTTTGACCAAATGTCTTTCATCTCTGACCACGATTTGATTTTTGTTCGTTCGACTTTAAGTTAAATAACAAAGCTGAAGAAGAGACGAAGTTCTATCACCGTGACTATAAGGCCATTAAATTTGATGCGTTGCTTCGGATTTAAACCGCTTCCATTGGAATTTTTGTTGGCAGCTAGTAACTGCTGACGAAAAACTAGACTTCTTGGTACAAAATATCTTATATTTCTTTAATAAGCATGAACCTATTCGCCTGTGTATCTCTAAGTCACGCTCCTATCCATGGTTTAACAAAGAAGTTAAATTAGCGATTAAAAAGCGTAATATTTCCTACAACACCTGGAAAAGGAGACCAACAGAGCATAATTGGAACCTCTACAAACGTGCCCGGAATTCGGTTACTATTTCTGTACGGCTAGCTAAGAAGAACTTCTTCTGCACAAAGCTTAACGTATCGTTGCCTCCTAAATAGCTCTGAGGAAATTTGAAAAGGTTGGGCGTACGGTCAAGCTCAGAAATACTCTGCTCACTTGATCCCAATGAACTCAATAATTCTTTTGCTTCAAGTAGTTCCTTGACTAATTACACGTCTGTAACAAAGACCACTTCTTCGTCTTCTGACCAACACTCTCTCTCGAGATTTCAATTTAGTTCCGTTTGCGAGGAGGAAGTGGCCAGATGTGTATGCAGTATTATATCTAATGCTGTAGGGAATGATGAGCTTCCAATCTAGTTTGTCTGGTGCCTCTCTGATTTGTAAATTCAGGCCTATAAGTATATTAACAGGACTTTCTAAGGTGTTTGAGATGCTTTTATCGCAGCAAATATCTGACTTCATTCATAAAAATAATAAACTCCTTTTAACCCTCTGCAGAGTGGTTTCAGAGCTGGTCACTCCTGTTCTACTGCTGTTGTTGAAGTCTTAGACGATATACGTCAGCCATTCGATCAAGGCCATTTAACACTGTCTGCTTGATTTTTCTAAGGCTTTTGATTCTGTAAACCACAATTTATTGTGTGAAAAACTAGCTAAGTATTTCACCTTCAGCAAAACTGCAGTAAAACTCATAGAGAGCTAAGGTTTCAAAAGGTGAAAATCGTCAATAATTGTTCTGACCTCGTGCATATATACTCAGGGATCAATATTGGGGCCCCTTTTGTTTAGCATTTTCATAAATGTCATTTTCAGCACCTGAACTCATGCGCGCTTACACGCCTATGCCGATGATGTGCAGCTGTATGTTTCTAATAAAATTGGATCGATTCAGGATATTTTTCTACAACTTAATGAGGACGTAAGCTAATTTATTTTGCCTCAATGCTCAAAAATCGTATGTAATACCTGTCGCTAAAGATACATTTTTGGCATCAGATATTCCCACATTTTTTTATTTGTGCCAACCAGCTTAATTAGTTGACAAAGCCAGGAATTTGGGTTTCGTTATTAACTCTAGATTTGCGTGTGATGATCATGTTAATGAAGTTGTGAATATTTTTTACTCTACGATGTCTTAGAGTAACTTCACCTTATGTACCGGTAGCCACTAAGAAAAAGTTAATTACATGTTTAATTGTTCCTTATATCACGTACTTTGAAATCTTCTACGGCAAATTAGACTCTCATTCACTCCAAAAATTGATTATCGCAATTAACTCTGCCACAAGGTATGTACTTGGTTTAAAGAAATACGATCATCTCTCACATATGCATAATTCTATACTTGGCTGTGATTTACAAAATTTTCTGAACGCGCGTAATTGCATTTTTATGATCAAATTATTTATCACGAAGAGCCCGGAATATCTGTACAATAAACTTAAGTTCTCCAAGAGTACACGTTCGTCAGATCTTATCCTTCCGAGATTTATCTATTTATGCACTTCAAGACTGTTTTTTATTAATGCGGTAAGGCTCTGGAACTCCCTTCCACTGTCCTTGAAGAACGCGTTGCACATAGGCAACTTCAAAAAACTCATATTTAACTTTTTTCTTCCAAGCGTGATCAAGAATAGTGGTTATAAGCTTACCTTTGTTTTATTTTAGAATATATGATTTGTAATTCAACATATAAATACATTACCTTAATCTATATTGTAATAATAATTATTATCTCTACTTTTTATTTTATTTTTGCAATGTTTGTATCATTGTGCAAGTAAAGATTACATCTTAATGCACTAATCAATCTAATATTAAATAAATAAAAAAAAAAAAAATACAGTTCATGATTAACAGGTTCCCTGTCCTCATACAATACATATTTTTTCATGGTATACGTCCCCCGATTTTTTCTGGATTCTTTATCTGATTTGATATTATTTGCATATAGAAATATGCAAAGAGCAGAGATATAAGATCGTCACTACCCACAAATAAAGCCGCGAGCTCAAAAGTGGACCGCGAAAAAAGGCGCATTAAAAACTTAAGCGAAGAAAGACTCTTAACATAGGTTCCCCGAAGTTTGTCCTAAGCGCCTTTTTTCGTAAAATTTTTCTTACTCGTCTTTTTTCGCCGTCGAAACACTAGCGAGCCTTTATTCGTGTCTAGTGACTATATGTCCTTATGTAAGGAAAACAATTTAGTTGTATGTTTCCATACAAAAACACTATAGGGATATTCAGGATCTTGTGCATATGCAAGCATGGCAGCAAGCATACAATTTGCAAATGCAATTCCAACTGCGATTTTTTTTTTGTTAAATACCTAGAAATTTGTATCTGAAGTCAGCATTGATTTTGCTCATATATGATTCATAGACTTGTGGGACAAGGAACAAAACTATTTCCATGAATCACATGTGATTCATTGGACAGGAAACCTGTTGAAATTGTTATTAGGCTCCAAATATCAAAAAATAAAAGATTTTGTTAAAACTAAATTTTACACATTGCTGAGATCTAATCCATTGCGTTTCTTTCGAGATTTGCAGGACCGGCTCAGCTGTCTCTGCAGGATTTAGAACCAGCTTTGCAGTTTTGTCAATATCTTATTTACGGATATGCTGGTATCGATCCGGAAAGCTATCAATTGCGTCCCCTTAATAAAGAACTAGATGTGGCACGGAATCACTATCATGCAATCACCAACTTGCGCCGTAAATATCCACAGCTGTTGATATTCCTATCTGTCGGCGGTGATCGTGACCATTTTGACGAAATAGTTGATAATCCATATATCAGTCTGCTTGAAAATCAGGCCCATCGAAACACATTTGTCAATAGCGCTTTGGCGGTGTTGAAAGCTTACGACTTCGATGGTCTCGATTTGGCTTGGCAGTTTCCTAAAAACCATCCCATAGTGGTGGAAAACAGATTTAAGAAAGCTTGGAAAACATTTAAGGGTTGGTTCACAGGCAGGAAAGTCGTTGATGAGAAGGCCGAAGAGCACAAAGGGCAATTCGCAACACTGGTACATGAATTGAAAGATGCTTTCCGCAATGATGGCCTTATGTTGACACTAACAATGCTACCTCATGTGGATGCTGATCGTAAGTAACTATTCTTGGTATATTGAATACACTTAAGTACATCTGTGGTTTATGCAGTTTTCATCGATATACCCAGAGTGGTACCTATGGTCGACTACGTCAATCTGGGTAGCTATGACTTTCAAACACCCGAGCGGGATCCGAAGGTGGCGGATCACACCGCTCCTATTTACGAAATGTTCGAACGCGACCCTACCCATAATATCGACTACCAAGTACAGTACTGGCTCAATAATTCAGCTCCCAGCAATAAAATTAATGTTGGTGTACCGGCGTACGGGCGTTCGTGGGTGATGACGCGCGACTCTGGTATTACGGGCTACCCGCCGATTGAGCACACAGAAGGGCCAGGCCCCGCTGGTAAACAAATTAATATTCCTGGTTTGATGAGCTGGCCAGAAATTTGTGAGACATTGCAACGTGACAAAGAGTTGGATGGTGAGGATGCCGCCCTGCGTAAAGTGGGCGATCCGCGACAACGTTACGGAAGCTATGCTTATCGATCGGCCGATGTGGATGGACTCTATGGTTTGTGGGTGGGGTATGAGGAACCCAGTACGGCAGCCATCAAAGCAGCTTATGTGTATGCAAAGGGTTTGGGTGGCGTAGCTTTGTTCGATTTGTCCTTGGATGATTTTCGGGGCCAATGTGCAGGCGAGAAATATCCTATTTTAAGAAGTATTAAGTTTAAATTATAAATCTAGTTAATAAATAATTCGTATAAATTGAGAAAAGCTAGCCCATTGTGTGCTCGTTCTCTGCCTATGCCTGTACATGCATGATGATAAGCATTGAATGATTTGCAAAAATCTAACCATATAGGGGAGCGAAGGGTATTTTGGACCACATAAGGAAAACTTTCTTTAGAAAAATCAGAAATCTGAATATTTTCTCAATTTTAATGGATAACACAGCCCAACAGAAAGAGAAAAAATTTTTGTGCGGCAAATGTTACAGCTGGTTTTGATAGACTTTTTTATGCTGATTACGAATCTGTAAGCAGGTCCAGATTCTTAAAAAAACCAGGTCAAAGTGTCAAAAATCGCGTTTTTTTAATATTTTAGAAGCTCTAACAAAGAAACAAAAGCTAGAACTTTCGACTACTATCTCTGAAAATACCATGATGGTCAGTTAGTCATTTGTTATATACTTTTATTTATTTTTATTCCAATTTAGAAAAAATGAGGAACAAGCTGAATCAAATTTTTGAACGGTTATTATAGGTTTAAAAAAGAAGTGTCATTAACATCGGTTATTGTGGTACACCAACTGTACATTGAATTATTGTAAAAAAATATATCTTTCCCATGATTCCAGAAAATTTTAAAAATAATAAAACTATTAGCATCAATAGCTGACACTACGAAAATTTAAATAAGCCACAATACTCGCTGGTGTAATTTTTAATTTTATACGTTTCACAAAATAAATAGTAAGCATTCAAGATCTAAAAAAAAAATACATTTTTACAACAAACACGTGTAATATGTAAATACATGACTTGAAATAAAACGTACGTTTCATAAAACGTAAGTTTCATAAGGTGCACGGAATCCTTTAATCGAAATGGGTCAAAATCCAGTATGTATAATTTCTTTTCAAACACAATATTTGACTGGAATTTTTTATATTTCTTTTTTTTTTGGTTTCCCATCACAGAGTTCATTTGTGCTTGAATCGCTATTTTAAATGGCTCCCGCTTTTTTTTTAAATAGGGGTGTAATTTCAGGAGTTCGCTTTCAATGAAACAACTTTTCACAGTAGTAATGATGTGTATTTTATGTTAAACTACTTTAAAAATATTTGTATCAGCATTTGCGTGCGAACTGAACTCGCATATTTAAACGTTAATCTATTTAAATTCTTTCTTGACTTCTTATTTTACCGTTTCAAAATGACAAAACAATGAAATGAATACTTATGTAGTTTTGGAAATTTACAGTAGTGAAATTATGTATGTACAAGTACCCACTA